TCCTCCCTCTCTTGGTCTGCAAGTGTGGCATTCCCTTGCTCACCAAGCCTCTTTCCTCTTGGGAGCCAGGGGAACTGCAGACTCCTCATTTCACGGCCGGGAATGGCTGTGCTGTCTGTTCCCCGTTGGGTCGGGCCTGCCCTTGTGCGAACTGGAGAAAGACGAAGAGGGCTCTTCTCCATTCTGCTCCCCTCCTCACCCGCCAGCTTTCTTGGGAAAGTGGCTTTGTCGAACGGGGTTTGAGAAGCAGTGCTGTGAGGCCCTGTTTGTGTATGCTGTACCCTGTTGTTCCTGGCCCCTGTTTTGACAGAGTAAGAAGTGAAGGAGGAATGCTCGTTCTTCCTTTGCTTAGTCAAGGCCCTTTCTCTGCTGCAGCGCAAAAGGGGTAGTGAAATCCAGCGTAGTTGTGACATCATGGCTTTAGGAGAGATCCTGACGTAAGGGACATAGGTTGAACAGTCACTGGCCACATGTACCGTTTAGATTGGTGCATGATGGGAACAGAAAATGAGGCAAGAGGGGAGGAAGAAATCTATCCCTCAGAAATGCATATGGTACAGCAGTAAGGTTAGAAAGATACCTGCGTGATCCTTACAAAAAATATTCTTTCTAAAACAGGAAATACATTAATGATTTTTTGTTTGATGTTTTTTTACCCTCTCAAGAAAGTAGACACCGTGATTAGTCCTGTTAAAAAGCTTATTAGTGTGCATTCTGGATGTCTTCTCTGAGAAACTCTCAAATGAGTCATCCATTCAGCTATGCCACAGTGAGGAAAGAAAAGCTTGAATACTGTGTAATCCAGTATTTAGCTGCACACAGTTGCAGAATTTCTCTCTTAAAACTGAACAAATTCAAGCAGAACAAAGAACAGTTGGACAGAAAAGAAGTGCATTTAAATGTTTTCCTGTAACCTTTTTATAGTTGTTGACAGACACACAACAGATTTATTTCTGTGAGTAATGTTGGCGCAAAGATACAAAAGATGTATTCAATCTGTTGAAAGGCCAGGTGTATCCACCAAAATGTGTATCTTTAGGAATTACAGGTGAGGTTCGATTCTTACTGCCGTCAGTTTCTAAGTAGCTTACATTGTAATGCTAAAGAAGCAAAATGTTTAAACAACATGAGATAGTAACTAAATGAACTAAGTTAAACTACTCTTAGATGCATTATCTGTACCCCATATAGCAGTAAGTTTTACCTGGAGCTGTAGCAAAATTGGGGTGAAAGGGGCACCATCTTCCTGCATTACTCATTTCATGAAGTAAGAGTGAGGAATCAGAAAAGTAGTCTCTTCCTGTTCGCTTGCTTAGTATGTCACAACAGTCTAGCCCTCTCCTTGTCAGGAGTGAGTACAAATGTATTTTAAAGGTGAACATTTCATACTCGGGATGAGGGGAGCACCTGCCAGCCTATGAGAATCAGAGAGGGGCCTTGTCTGTTCTCTGGAGTTTGCTTGCTCTCTGCTTCTGTCCTGTATGTCTTGTACCTGTTCTTTCCACTTTACTTCCAGTTAAGTTGAAAGAGGAGAGAGCTGGGAAGCCCAGTTTTGTATGGGTGAGAGGAACTGGCTTTTTCTTTCTGGCTAGCAGCGAATCATCTAAAAATCAGATTGTGGATGTTTGAGGTTAACCAAGTGTGAGAGAAAGATGATAAATAAAAGTGCCCAGTAGGGTACGCCTGTTGGGTGGAAGGGAGGAGCATGGTTATGTATATGTATATAATTATATATAATAATAATAATAATTATGTATATATTTTTATATATCTCTATATATATGTGGTTATATATACCAGGAGCACTGGTCTGTATACTAAATCATTGGGTTGTAGCTCTGGGAATTAAGCACTTGTGTAGTAGGCAAGTGTACTGCGTAAACTTCACGTTGCTCATCACATAGATTTTCGAGCAGAAAAAGCACAATCTTGTGTTGTCTTGAGGGCAGATCATATTTTCAAGTGATTATATATTTGACTGCATTCAGTTCTTGCCCAGTCACCATGGGAAAGTGGCATCACTGCTCCTTTTCTCTTGGTAGCCTGTCCTAATGCTGTGCAGTCTATCCTTGAAGACACAGTAGCGAATGCTACTTGGCTTAAGCTTAAGCTGTAAGCTGAGAAATAGACTTCTAGGTTTTTGTATTGCTAAATCAAAGTTTGTTTTCTTTAACTTAACCTGAGGTTTTAAGATAGAGGCCATACAAATGAATATTTTGAGATGGTTGGGGAAGTTCACTGTCCTGGAAAGGAACACATTACTCTCAGGAATTTCTACGTGCAGTTACAAAATCTGGAAAAAAATAAACTACTATTATGAAGTGAAAACTCGTGTACAAGATCTGTTTTAGTTGAACTTCAAACTCTACTCAGAAGTCTAAATCTGATTGTTACATTATGGATAAAAAAGTGACTTTTTTTAGTCGGGTATATTTATTAAGATGTTCTACAGTGACAAATTGATATGAAATGTGTGATTCTAAGGAAGCCTGACTAAATAAATATTTCTTATTTGGTTTCGTTTTTCTGATGCAGCTTCCTGTTTTCTGGCACTGATAGTGCATGGCGGCTTATCCTAACTCTGTCTTGAAGTGAGGTGGGAAATCCGTCCAACGACTTAGCATCAGTAAGACGGACAAGGTAATGATAAATGTGTGCTTTTGGAAAGAAGGTGAAAGAAAACCTGTGGGTAGAGATTCTTTTATGTTTTTAATTATTTAAGTAATAATTAAAAAAACAACCAAACAACTTCTGCAGAACCCAATGCTTTTACAATCAGCTTAGTGTTAATTAGACTGAGTTGATGTGCCTGCTGTCAAAACTCTGATGTTGCAAAACATAAATAACACGCTAGTGAGCATTAATGGTGTCATAAACTTCAGTGTTTCATGATGATGTCTCAGCAGCAGCCTGGTTGTGTTAATTGCAGGTCTTTTTCTCTGGAATTAGACTGTATCCACCTACCGCCTGTTATGTCTGCTTGGGAGAATGGATTTAGTTTAATAGTTTTTTGTCTCTTTGGATGTCATTGGGCTAAACACAGGGATTTGCAAAGTTAATTACCAAAACACCAAGTTGAATTGCAGTCTAGAGGTAGCATAATTCTTACTGCTCTCTACAGCTACCTGAAAGGAGGTTGTAGTGATGTGGGTGTTGATCTCTTCTCTCAGCGATAGCACGAGAGGAAATGGGCTCAAGTTGTGCCAAGGGAGGTTTAGATAGGATATTAGAAAAAATTCTTTACTGGAAGAGTGCTGAAGCATTGGAACAGGCTGCCCAGTGAAGTGGTGGAGTCACCATCCCTGAAGGTGTTCAAAAAATATGTAGATGTTGCACTTCAGGACATGGTTTGGTGGTCATGGTAGTGCTGGGTTGATGGTTGGACTTGATCTCAGAGATCTTTTCCAACCTTAATGATTCTATGATTCTGTACCTTTTTAATGCAAAACATTGCCACTGAAACAGTAGAGTTAAATATATATAGGTGCATCAAGGTGTATTAAATGCTTTAGCTGAATGCCTTGTTTCTGTGGTAAGGAAGAAGTAATTTTCAGTGCAGTGCTTTAAAAATAATGACCAGAACAAAATTCAGTTTTCTTGTAAAGCACTGTATCGTAACATCCATAAAGGTAAGGGAGAAGTACCTGCACATCTCCACCAAGAATTCTTTTTGCAAAAGAAAATGAACAGCGTACTTGTCTGTGTGTGACTTTGGAAATGTGAATTTTGATGTGTAGGGCTGTGTACTTTTAAGATCTCTAGTATTTGTACTTCAGATGTTAAGATAACTGCTTCTTCAGTTGCTTCTCATTTCAGATATATTGTTTTGGCCCTGACCAAAACAACAAATAAAGAAAGGGACATTTGACTATCTAGATTTCTTTTCTCCTTCTGCTCAGTAACTTGTTTGTAGTTTCTGTTTTTCTTTAAAATGTAAGGTCTTTGTATTTTTTGACAAGAGATGCCTCATATAAAGTGATCATTTTTTAATTGTCATATATTAAGTGTTGAGGATAGAACTCTGAAGTACATGCTGTGTGCTGCTTGGGCTCAAGATGGCTTTGCTGCACTTCTTTTAAGTTGAAGTGGTTGTCCACCTCTCAAAGCAATGAGAGTAACCAACTGTTCTGACTATGCACTGCCTAACAAATTTGTGGCTCTGAGCCTAATGAGTAGCTAATGTGTGGTCTGCTGAGCAGCTTTTAAAAATATAAAATCTTTTTTAAAATATCTCAGTCAAAATTTGAGCATGCATGTAATAAAAACAGTTCTTCATTTATTTGTTTATGAAATAATTCACAATGCACCTTGTTTCTCTTAGACTCTACCACCTATAATCTTTGAAATAAGGTATTTTGTTCTGGAAGTCTTTTCTTAAATGAAAAAAAAAGCCCTTTGGTTATCATAATTACGAGGGATGTAAAAATAATGTAACCAGTATAGTGTTGCAAGGCTGACAGCTTTTGCTGCTGTTTCACTTTTGCTGAGAGGTATACATATACTGAAATTTCTAAATGTCACACTTATGTGAAAGCTGTCTGACTTTTTAAAAAATCTATAATTTTAAGTTCTGACCCTTGAGAACTGTGTGACCTGTTAATTTGAAGTGTCAGATCTTAATAGAGTTCTTCTTTGTCTGTGAGCTCAGTTAATGTATCTGGCACTTTGTCATTTGGGAAATTAGAACGTCATGTAAGTTGTCTGAGAGAGGCTCTCTGGAGAGCTTCCTAACACTCATGCTTTCCCAAGATGGAAAGCTTCAGAACTATAATCAGATACATTTAAGTAATTAACAATTCAGTTTTCTAAAATGTTTTCTTGTTAACAGGTCTGCAGGTAATAAGGAATCCACCATGAATGGGCAGCTGGACTTAAGTGGAAAGCTAATCATCAAAGCTCAGCTTGGGGAAGATATTAGGAGAATTCCTATTCATAATGAAGATATCACCTATGACGAGTTGGTGCTAATGATGCAAAGAGTTTTTAGAGGGAAACTTCTGAGCAATGATGAAGTCACGATAAAATATAAAGATGAAGGTAAGGTTTAATTACTCCTATTGCTCTGATGTGTTCTGTCTATGGACAGAAACTATGAAATTCACTCTTCAAAGTTTTCTAAATTCATTGGCAAATGCAAATGACTTCTTGTGAAAACCTTTGAATCAGGCAATAGAAGCTGTATCTTAACACAGTATTTCCTGCAGTTCTTCTGAAATATCAGCTATCTGGAAATTCATTTTTTGCTCTTGCAGGAAGTTGATGCTATTGCCAATTTCTCTTCTGTGCGTTCATGTAACCATTTTTTGGTGTTTTCAGTGAAGAAGTGGGTTTGAAGGTGTGTGAATAAACGTGTGACAACAGAAGCTCCTGTAAGACTTCGAAAACTTGATTTATGTGATAGTAGTTCTTGATTATGTTTTCCTCCATCAATAAAGATTAGAAGAAACTTTTAATTTAACCTGAAATAATTGCTAAAAGTAATCTTTTCCCTGTGTGATGGTTTGAATCTGTTGGATGTTGGTTGTTTGAAAGAAAATCTCGATCAGCGCTAAACAAACACAACCTGAAGAAAGAAAGGGCTTCCACAGAATGAAAAGGTCCTTGTTTGAGATGTGTAGAAAGAGAGTTGTAGTTTGGAGAGGTTTCCCTCTTTGAATGTCAGTGTGGGGCATGTATAAGTTACTTAAGTTGGGACAGAGAGGTGATACTCAAAAAATGAAACTCAGAATGAAATGCTAAAATCCAGGTTCTCTTAGATGAAAGACTGTCGGATAGATATGCTGGTGGTCAGTGAGAGCTGCGTTATTGAAGCATTCAGGTTCATTTTTCTTAATAGCATTAGGAAACTTTAGCACTGTCTGTGTTACCTAAAAAGTAAATAACCTTTGCTCATAAAATTTAGGCAGTATAATTTCGTTTTGAATGACGCTGAGACAATTTTTTCATGGAGCTTTTGAGAGGCTTTGCTGATCAAGAATGCTATGGCATGAAGGGCTAATGTCTTGGTTCCTGATCTTTAGTGGGAGAGAGCTCAGTGGATTTGTGGTGATTTTGTTTATCCTCTTATCGTATAATTGATTTATTTTTTCTTTCAGGAATGAGAACGGTGAAAAGAAATTGATAGATGCTTTTTCATTAAGTTAAAGCTTATAGTCTCCTTTTTGCATTCTTACAGGTTCTGTAAGTCTAGTTCTCTGTTTTCATGTATGCTTCTGTCTCGATGTCTTTTTTGAAGAAGATAATGGTGTATGATAGAGACTGTAATTATGGTTTCATTCTTTAGTCCTCTTTCACAGCCTGGGGACCTTGTACTCTTAGCATTAGCTTTCTTTGTCTCAGAATACACTACTCTGCTGTAATGTGAAATTTCAGTGTATGGTATAGCTATATACCATAGCTATATATATATATAGCTGAATACCATAGCTATATATCTATAGCTATATATCGTAGTGATATATACCAGTGTATGGTATAGGTAGCTGACCATCAGTACTAAGGATATTTAAACATTGTTAATAGCAGAGGAGACTGCAAGTGATTAGGGAAAAAGTTAACAGAGCTAGGCTTCAGTTTGATTGTCGTAGGACTGTGGTATTCTTTACTTAAAATAAACTAAGGTTCTTTTTAAAATCTATTTCATTCATTAGCAGCATAGGAATATATACATTCTAGCTGTTTCTGTTGTGTTATTTATCTCTCCAGACCTGGAGGGAATGCTTGTCCTCATCTGGTATGAGGAGATGTTTTAAATTGAACTAAGGATTTCCACCACTTTAGAACTTCAGTCTGAGTTTCCTCAGAATTCATGTGCATGCTGTTGGAGCATACAGAAGAGTGGTTCATCTCCTCCTCCTGACTTAGTTTCATGTTGCTGTAATATGTGAAGTTAATGATCTTCAGACCTGAATTATGGGATTTTCTACTTAAAATTTCTGCAAAATACTGTGACTTTGTATCTTCATTAAACTGTCATGATCCTTCAGTCTAACATATTTTGTTTTTTCAAATTTGTGTGCTTAATTGGAAAGGCTAGGAAACTTTAAATCCCAATCCTTCTCTATCTGGATTTGTGGACTAAGATAATCTAAACATAATTTAGGAATATGTTATGTGTTGCTTTTATTCATTATCAAGGAAGAGAAGTTTCAGTTTGATTACTGCTCTGTGGAGTTCTGTGTTGAAGCTGGGCATCTTTTGAACTTCTGAACTCAGAAAAATTGCTCTGCTAGCTGTGAAATCGTTTTCATGGCCTGCTTAAGGTTCTAGAATGTGTAGTAAAACCAAATGTCTCCCAAAAAACACCCAACCTAACCAAACCAATGAGGATTTATGTGAATCAAAGAGTAGAACTGCATGTTAAGCACACCATGTTGTTGAGTTATATATGCTAAAGCCCGTATGGAGCCAATAATAGAAACATGACTTTTTTGTTTGTTTGTTAAGCTGAGCTTGAATTTAAAACTAGAGTGTCTGATGTGAGATTGATCTTTTAATTCGTTTTCTTCATTACCTTGCAGTAGTAATTGATGTCGTTCTGTCAAAGCCTATAACGAGTTACTCGTATGTAATCAAGGTGTGCTAGTCAATAATGTCTCTGTTGATAAATTTAACAAAGTGAAGGAAAACTACATTTTTAGTATTTTTTTTGTTGTTGTTTTTGACCTTCACTTTACTGCCAAAAGAGAAAAGACTGTGCTTACTTTGGGCTGTGAGTGTATAGTCTTTTTACAGATCATAATGACAAGCAGGGACACTATTACCCTCCCTTTCCTAGCTGTGGTGAGGCACCACAGGGCAGTCTGTGCTCAGTTTTGCCACCTGCACTCCAAGCTGAAAAGACTTGGAGAAGCTGGAGAGGTTCCAGCAGTGGGGATGATGAGGGGCCTAGGGCAGGTGGTCTTCAGGGAACGTTTGCAGGAGCTGGGCTCGTGCAATGTGGTACCGAGGAGGCTGAGGGCAGAGCTAGTATCAGCCTCCAGCTAAGCATGTGGGAGTTGTAAAGACCATTGAATCTCAACTGGTTTCAGTAGCACCAGATGGCAGCAGTCATAAACTGTAGTTTGAGAGGTTGAGCAGGAGCTTTGGCCAGGAGGGCAGTGTGTCACTGGACCAGGTTGTCTAGGGGGATGTTGGAGCCTGACTTATTGGAAACTCTTCAGTCTCTGCCTAGTAATAGTGCTATCAACCAATATATTGTGAGATTGTGAAAGTGCAAACAGGACACACACATAAAAAATCTCTGGAGAGAGCAGTATTTCTTTCAGGAAAACTTGAACATTATTTTCTGTGTCATTAGTTTGTTAGTAGTTGTAAGATTTCTTGTTTATTTTTTAAGAAAATATGGAGGGATAGGGCTGGGCTGACTACTAAACAGATGATAGATGCTCTCTAACTGCTTTCCCACCCCAAACAGGAAGGGAAAG